ATGTGCTCCTTCAGTTCCTCGCCCGTGAGCTGGTCTAGGTCGACTACGGCTGCCTGGGCGGCGCGCATGTTCTTTGCTGGGATCTCGTAGACGGTAGGGACGACACCGAGGGCCCGGCCGATCGCTCCTCCCCGGGCACGCACGTCGGCGACCCGGCTCGGCTCGGCCGCGGCGGGCGTGAAATCCGTAGGCAGCGTTGCGCTCCAGCTGAGCGGAATCCAGACGACGCTGGGTGGCGGCGCGTGTCTCGGACAGGTCCAGCATCTGCTGGCGCCTTTCCTCGAGCTGGGTTTGGGCCTCAGCGACGTTGTTGGCATGGATGTCGGTGCCGATGGGGATGCGGAGGCTCTAGATCACGGCGCGCAACGGATCGGACGGCTCGGTCCGTTCCGCTGTTGCCCTGGCTTCGGCAGCCTTCCTCGTCTTGCTCGATGAGGAGGAGGCGCCGTCGCCGGTGACGAAGACCTCCACGTGGACGTCCATTGCCCCGGCGGAAATTCCACCGCCGAGGGAGAGGGGGGAGTCAGAGTAGCTGAGCACCTCACTGGGGTACTCGTCGCCGGGGGCATATCAGAGATGCGCAGCGCGGCGAAGAAGGCGGCGAGTGCGCCGACGACGCCGTCCGTCAGCGTGGCGGACTCGTCGGAGTAGGAAAGGGGCCCCTCTGAAGCATGCTCCCGGCCAGCTCCTCGAGCTGCCCCACGATGGGCACCAACTGTCGTGGTGGGCGCACGGCAGATGCCATGGGATGGCTAAAGAGAGGAGGAGGCTCGAGGGCACTGGTGGGCTCCAGAGGCGGGGTTGGTATGAGCGAGCGCGGGACGCAAGACATACCCAGGTTCGGGGCTCTCCGGAGAGATAACACCCCTAGTCTTGCCGAGTGTAGTTTGATGTTCGACAGTACAATGTTGCTCCTAGAGCTGTATGAAGGAGGAAGGAGGGCTGGCCAAGGCTTAGGCTGCTCCTTCTCCCCGAGTGGATGTTACTGTTTTTGGTGGCTAGTTCCTCTCTTGCTTGCTTACTTACTTGCCCGTATGCGCGGGCTCCTGGGGGGTTTTATAGGCCAACCCCTTAGGGATACAATGGTAATGTTACAAGTTGGTAGGTCCGGGTTGTTGGCGTCCGGGGACCCGGGCTGGGACCCGCTGGGGGCCTGTGGTTCGCCGGGTTCCCCTAGGTGCAGGCCCCGCGTGCCTAGAGGGACTGTGCGCCGTCTTGTCGATCGTCGGGGCGTGGCCGAGTCGAGTCATGTATAGTGGCGCTCTGTCAGGTAGTCGCTTGCTGTCGTCGGCGGTGATGGCGGGGGCACTGTAGCCACGCTGGCCCTGGTCAGCGAGTAGGTGAGGGGCATCGTTGCCACGCTCCGGCTGACCAGAGGCATGGGCGGGGCACTATTTCCTTGGTCATCAGTGGCCGAAGACTCGTCCCATCGTACGGGCTGGATGGGACGGGAGCTGACCCGTGGCTGGATTGCGGAGCACGCCACGGGTGGAGCTGGCTTGTTGAGGAAGCCTTAGTTGTGCCGGGTTCGGCTGTCTTGTACTAGTTGTTGAGGCTGAGTCGACGTGTCCCGCCGGGTCGGAGAGCTTGGCCGGGTTGCGGGGTTTGGCCGGGTCGAGCGACCCGGCCAAGCGCGTGCCGGCTTGAGGGGCGACGCCGGCCATGTTGTTTTTGAAAAGGATCCGGGTTCCGTTGCCTGCCCGGGGTTCATCCCCCTGACAGTTCCTTCAGCACGACGGCGTGGCAACGGTGATGATGAAGTTACCGGCGAAGGGCTTCGCCTAAGCACTACGGCGATATGACCGAGGTGTGTAATTGTGGAGGGGGCACCGCACACAGCTAAGACAAATCTTGGAGTGCCTTTGGGGTGCCTCCTGCCCACGTATATAAAGGAGGGAGGAAGAGGAGGCCGGCCCTAGAGGGGGCGCGCCAAGGGGGGGCGTCCTACTTGGACTCCCGGTCCAAGTAGGATTCGCCCCGCCCCTTTCCTATTCCAACTAGGAGAAGGAAGGGAAGGATGAAGAGGGGAGAAGGAAGGAGGGACGCGGCGCCCCCCTAGTCCAATTCGGACCAACCCATGGGGGGGGGCACCCCTTGAGGCCCTTCTCTCCTTTCCCGTATGGCCCATTAAGGCCCACTACTTCCCCCGGCGAATTCACGTAACTCTCTGGTACTCCGAAAAATACCTGAATCACTCGGAACCTTTCCGATGTCCGAATATAGCCTTCCAATATATCGATCTTTACCTATCGACCATTTCGAGACTCCTCGTCATGTCTGTGATCTCATCCGGGACTCTGAACAAACTTCGGTCATCAAATCACATAACTCATAATACAAATCATCATCAAACGTTAAGCGTGTGGACCCTACGGGTTCGAGAACTATGTAGACCTGACCGAGACACATCTCCGGTCAATAACCAATAGCAGAACCTGGATGCTCATATTGGCTCCTACATATTCTACGAAGATCTTTATTGGTCAAACCGCTTAACAACATACGTTGTTCCCTTTGTCATTGGTATGTTACTTGCCTGAGATTCGATCGTCGGTATCATCATACCTAGTTCAATCTCGTTACTGGCAAGTCTCTTTACTCGTTCCGTAATGCATCATCTCGCAGCTAACTCATTAGTCACATTGCTTGCAAGGCTTATAGTGATGAGCACTACCGAGAGGGCCCAGAGATACCTCTCCGAAACACGGAGTGACAAATCCTAATCTCGATCTATGTCAACCCAATAAATACCTTTGGAGACACCTGTAGAGCATCTTTATAATCATCCATTTACGTTGTGAAGTTTGATAGCACACAAGGTGTTCCTCCGGTATTTGGGAGTTGCATAATCTCATAGTGTGAGGAACATGTATAAGTTATGAAGAAAGCAGTAGTAATGAAACTGTAACGATCATAATGCTAAGCTAACGAATGGGTCTTGTCCATCACACCATTCTCCTAATGATGTGATCCCGTTCATCAAATGACAACACATGTCTATGGTTAGAAAACATAACCATCTTTGATAAACGAGCTAGTCAAGTACAAGCATACTAGGGACACTTATGTTTTGTCTATGTATTCACACATGTACAAAGTTTCTGGTTAATACAATTCTAGCATGAATAATAAACATTTACCATGAAATAAGGAAATAAATAATAACTTTATTATTGCCTCTAGGGCATATTTCCTAGCAGCAGCTGTCGGGCTTCAACATGGAGCAGGCGGAGGCGGAGTTCACCGTCGCCCAGTCCAACGAGATGACAGAGCAGCAGACCATCCTGGAGTCCATCCAGGATGAGACCTATGTGGAAGCCAACCGGGCGCTCCTCTGGCGGGAGCAGGCGGAGTCCGATGCGCTCTTCGTCGTACTCGACACGGAGATGGAGGCGGAGGAGCCGGAGCTACAGCTGCAGCCCATGCGGCCAGAGCCGGACACGGAGATCGTCGACATCTCCGACATCGAGTAGCTAGGTGATCGACGTAGTATGTAGGTTTATTTTAGTTTGCATGTCTTTATATGAATTTGAGATATAATATGAGATGTCCGGCTGTAACCGTGGAAATTTGAGGCATGCCTGATCAGTGTCCGCGGCTGTTTGAGGGACCGGATCTGCCTAGTCCGGCTGTAAATGCTCTTAGTAGGTTGCCTATTTGCTCGGCTGACCCGCAAGAGGAGTTGTTGTTTTGCATCCCTACAATCACAAGAGCAGAATTTAATTGGCACTAATTAACTTTACAAATAGGTTTATTTGTTATATCAATTTTTTATCAATATATGGGTGGAGTTTTTCAAAAAAAAAATTGAGCAATACCAGGTCAGGAAATAGCTGGCTGTCCAACAAATAAATAGAGACCTCGGCATCAACATTTTACCTAATAAATAAGACTAAATCACCAACAAGAAGTCTCTTTCCACCGATAAATTGGCTCCAGCCAGTAGTCAGCATATGCCTTTTAGGCTGGCCTGGTGAAGAGGAAGAGAAGCAATCATAAAATTACAAATTAATGCATTTTTCCTTCCAAAAGAAAATAGTCAAATGGATTAAATCTTGAAGGAACGGGATTGTAGGCCAAAACAGATATATTACACCCAACAAGTGGGAAACACGCGGCGCCCACTCGCGTATGCCATGTCGGATTGAGCGGTGTGATTGGGTATAGGGATTTTTCTCGCTCGGTTTCCTTATATGTGCCCGTTCTCGGATACGCGTGCCTCCTCTCTCTTTCCTCATGTTTACCGACTCAAATGAGCTTATCAGACAACCAGTGCTCGGCGTTATAGATTAGGCACAGTGTTGGTGGTATTTTATGCTCTGAAACCAATGTGATATCAAATTATTACTCTAACTCCAGCGGTGGTGGTTTTGGGTAAATAATGGCCTCCCATCCAATCATAAAAATTAAAGGTGTTTTTGATGGCCGAGAAGGTAAAAAAAAAGTGTTGTCTCGGGCCATCCAATCATAAAAATGTATTCAGAAAATTCACAGTGAGCCTAATATTTTGGCCAATCAATAAAAATACCCATAGGAAAAGGTTTCACTAATCCAGCATTTTTTTTTTTACGGGAAGAACACTTGTTTACCCGAGAGACCGGATTTTTCACCGGTGAACGGGAGAGCCGTGCGGCGTGGCGAGACCGTGGCCCCGATCTCCCGCAGCCCCGGATCCGGCTTGCCTGCTCCCTTCCCATGCTCTCATCCGTGCTCCCACTTTATCCTACGGCTGTCTACGTCGCGCACACGTGGATCGCGCCTGGACCTATCCGCTCCGCCCTCTCCAATCAGCGAGCCGCCTCGTTTCTCTCGGGCCGGAGCGCCCTCCCTAACAGCCGATCTCCAAAATTTCCTGCCCCTCCTCGCTTCTCCATCCTTCTCCGCCGATCTCTCGCCGGAGCCCGGCCAGGCTCCGAGCTCACCGAGCCCAAACCCCTATTTATACCCCGCGGAGGCAGAGCGGCATCCTCCATTCCCAGGGTCAGCCAGCCGAGAGGGGGATGACTTCGGAGATGGGCCTCGTCCACTGCCTCCCGCTGCTCCTGCTGCTGCTCTCGGCCTCGGCCGTGGTCGCGGCCGCGGGCGGCGGGGAGAAGGACGTCTCGGCCTCGGACTACGAGGCGCGGTTCGAGGCGTGGTGCGCGGAGCACGGCAAGGCGTACGCGACGCCCGGGGAGCGCGCGGCGCGGCTCGCGGCCTTCGCGGAGAACGCGGCCTTCGTCGCGGCGCACAACGCCGGCGCCGCCGCCAATAGCGGCGCGGGAGGATCCCAGTCGTACACGCTCGCGCTCAACGCGTTCGCTGACCTCACGCACGACGAGTTCCGCGCCGCGCGCCTCGGGCGCCTCGCCGTCGGCCCGGTCCCCCTCGGGGAGCCGCGTTCGTCCGGGGGCTTCGAGGGCGGCGTGGGCGCCGTGCCCGACGCGCTCGACTGGAGGCAGAGCGGCGCCGTCACCAAGGTCAAGGACCAGGGCAGCTGCGGTGAGCGCCACGCTTCTGAATCTCTTCTTCTACAATATACTTGACATTGCAGGGCTCTTCTGTTTGTCTCCGTCAGAGTTTTGCTGTTTGTGTAGTTGTTGGGTTCTAATGCTAAAACTTAGAGATCGAGATATGTTAGTACGTAGGTGCATCAAAAGTGTAGTGATACTGAAGATCTGGATGACCGAGGCATTGTTGCAGCAAATGATTCCAAGAACTAGAATCCATGGCAGGGAGCAGCGGCTGACGCATATAAGCTAACCTTCCTCTGACATAACTCATTAGGTAACCCATTGATTGGTTAGCGCTTGGCATTTAGCACCATGTTTACCTGAAGTACTTATCATCATGGCCGGTTAGAGAAGATGTTGAAAATATGTCTCTGTTTAGTTTTTTCCCAGCCCAATTTGCAAGTTTACTGACTAATTTCTCCAAGCTATGCTGGTTTGTAGTCACCTATACTCTTCTCAACGGTAGATTCACGGACTTTTTTGTCCTTGAAAATGTGAAACATATCAAGGTATTGAAATGATTACTTGGAAAAATAGATAGATAGATAAATTAGAGAAAGAATTATGTCTCTAACCCCTTATGTGGTTCGTAGGTACTGTTGCTTTTTAGGGCTTCCCACACAAGAGAATTACTTCTAATCTTTCTGTTAGCTTTTGCCATGGAAGTAGCTATCTGCTGCTTCATTGTGTAGTCCAGTTGTGCATTACAGGTTAAATAAGAATCTCGGAAAAAATGTTATGCTTCAGCAATCCAGAATTCTAGGTTTGGGGTTATCTTAGGTTGCCCATGGGCGATGCCTATACTGAAAATGGGTAATTAGATATGACAGCAACATAAGAACTGTGTCAGCAATCTTGTTTTACAGTAGGATATGGTTTCCTTTTATTCAAGGGCCTTGAACTTGGAAGTACTTTTTTTCAGATTTGATAGTTGGTGCTACCTCATTTCTTATTACTAAACCGCACCAGTACATACTGTTAATGTGGTCTGGATTGTCGTTCAGGTGCTTGTTGGAGCTTCTCTGCTACAGGTGCCATGGAAGGAATAAACAAGATCACGACGGGCTCTCTTCTCAGCCTTTCTGAACAGGAACTAATCGATTGTGACAGATCCTACAATGCTGGTTGTGGCGGTGGGCTCATGACCTATGCTTATAAGTTTGTGATTAAAAATGGTGGGATTGACACGGAGGATGATTACCCGTTTCGTGAAGCAGATGGAACATGCAACAAGAACAAGGTAAGATGGACGTGCAGCCGTGTAGAAAACTACCTTGAGCATGTTTAGGCACATGATGTGTCATATTCATGCGATTTGTCTGCTTGTTTTGCAGCTGAAAAAGCATGTGGTAACAATCGATGGCTACAAGGAGGTGCCTCCTAGCAAGGAAGACTTGTTACTACAAGCTGTTGCCCAGCAACCCATTAGCGTAGGAATATGTGGCAGCGCTAGAGCATTTCAGCTATACTCCCAGGTTTGAATGCAATTGTGCTCTCATTAACTTATTTAACACAGTTCTACCACACCTTTTACTTGACTTCCACTATTTTCATATTCAGGGTATCTTCGATGGTCCATGCCCAACATCTCTTGATCATGCTGTCCTAATTGTGGGATATGGTTCTGAAGGTGGCAAGGATTATTGGATTGTGAAAAATTCCTGGGGTGAAAGATGGGGAATGAAGGGCTATATGCATATGCACCGAAACACTGGCTCATCGTCAGGTATCTGTGGCATAAACATGATGGCATCTTTCCCCACAAAAACAAGCCCGAATCCTCCTCCTTCACCTGGCCCTGGCCCAACCAAATGCAGCGTTTTTACCTCCTGCCCTGAAGGATCCACCTGCTGTTGCTCATGGCGTGCCTTGGGATTCTGCCTTTCCTGGAGCTGTTGCGAGCTGGATAATGCAGTTTGCTGCAGTGATAACCGTTCTTGTTGCCCCCATGACTATCCTATATGTGATACAGCTAGGGGACGTTGCTTGAAGGTAAACACTAGAGGTTTTATGCATTCCTTATTTTAGCTTTCACCATGTTTGTGATTTAGAAAACTGACCTTCCTGAGAGCCTGATATAGTTAAGCTTGAAAAATGCTTTAGAGCACTCTTCCTTCCATGTTTATTTTTCTTGATATCCCGTTTCAGTTTTTGTACGTACAGACTGTGTTATAGCCTTGTAAGTTAGTCAGGTTTCCAACGTGTGTAAACATATACGAAACTGGATAAAGGCTGTGTACGCTGATGACTGATCATTTGGTGAATTTACTGTTTCAGGGCAATGGCAACTTCTCCAGCATAGAGGGAATCAAGAGGAAGCAAGCTTTCTCCAAGGTTCCCTCTTGGAATGGTTTGTTGGAACTGCTGGATCAATAGACATACAAAAAATTACGGATCACAGGTAAGATCATGTCAACTTGGTTTGTGCACTAGTGTCATTATCATCATCCTTAATGTGATCGCCCCTCCCCTCCTGAACCCCTTATATTGACCATGATCACCTTTTCTCCCAGACAGATACACATGTGCGCATGATCTTATACAAGCGGCGGGGGTTCGCTGCGTTCTTGAAGTGTTCTGCCGCATTGTATGCTCCCATAGTCTCTATCTGCTGGCTGTCTTGCAGAGCTGTCCAATGTCGTTATGAGAGACAAAAAGGAGATGTCCAGAACTCCAAAATTTTAGTGTGTATTGGTGAGTCATCGCAGCTGGTACTGTATTGTATATTTCCATGATAGTACGTGTCAGGTACTCAGGTTAGCCTATGATGGGTTCAGTCAGATATTGGTTACATGGCACAGATGGTTTATTTGTACTCAGCTTGTACTAGATGTGAGAGAACCGCCCATAATACAATAAAGAGATACGTGCATCAGGTTCAGTAATCTGTTTGTGGCTGTGTTTATGCAACCATTTTCGAACAAACTGTACAACCATGGTGACCATGGTTAATCTTTGTTTAACCTGCTATATATGGTTAATCTTAACATGGTCACATTGTTCATCTTTTTTTTGAAGCTTCTTGGGTTAGCCTTTGCTTCGCCGGAACCAAGAAGGTGATGCTCAGCGAGGGACGCGTTCACCCACGGCTGGCCGCGCACCCGGTGCCGACAAGAGAGGGCATCCTCGCACGGACGAACATGTTCCCAACCTCGATACACCGTCCAAAGGGGCAGCGCGCGGCGAGCCACCCATCCCAGCCGAGCCACCTGCGCCGCCAGTTGGATGCCTGACGGGATGGGCAACGTTCGCCGGCTCCGGTTGGAGCACGCGCGCCAAGTGCTTCACGATTCCCCCGCGGCAAAGCCGTGCGACCACTGTAAACTCGGGGTGCCGTCCAGTTCAAAGCCCGCCATCTCAAACTCGTGTTCTTCTCGGCGCCGTGTGCCATCACCACCGCACTGCCAAATTCGTTCCTTATTCGTGTGCAGCTTGAGGCCGTGAACAGGGTGACAGTTTTCTACCCTGTCAACCATCAAAAGTTACTCTCGAAAAAGGATGACACGCATCAATAACACTACATGATCAACATGTGCTCGCTCGCGAAAGGTTCGACAGGGAATCCTGCAAAGGTAATTACTGTTCCGCTCCGTCTCTCACAGCCCACACACCAGCCGAATCCAGCCACCCACACACCCCGAAAAAATCATTCCAGAAGGTGATGTAAAACGGCAATTTTTGTGTGGAGAATAACTAGGGAAGGTAAAAAAAAAATCTGTAGTTCTCCATTGCCGAATTTGCTGCGCGGCACGGCGGATGGGCGAAAGGAGAATATATGACAGACAACACCGGGGAAAAGATTAGATTGGGTTGTTCTCCATTTTGTGGAAAGATTGCGTTGTTCTCCATTTCGCGTGAATTGGCTCCAGCACGCCGGAGAATCCAGTTCTCCTGGTTGCTTTCAGTTCTCCCCAGCCGTTAAACGCGGCTGCCTGCTTGCGACAGTGGCTGCTTTTCGCCTGCCCTTCTTGCTCTGGTGATCCTATAAATTGGGCGGGTCGGTGTTTCTTCGTGTGTCAGTAAGCTCAGAGAGTAGTAGTAGCAGCAGCAGCAAGGTGATAGTAAGAGGAGGCGCAGTTTGAACCCTCCATCTCTCAAAGTGATTTGAGGCTATTGGCAGGACCGAAATATGGTACACTACTCTGTTTTTGCTCATGACCTTGTGTCTGCATGTTTAGTTTCCTCGTTTTCTGGAATATGTGTGTGTAAACAATGGAGAAATTAGATTCTGAGCATGAACAAAATCTTCAGAAATATCCTTTGGTTAAGGATTACAGTGGACATTATAAACCTTTGAGGTTTTCATTTCCAAAAAAAAAGTTGAGTTGTAGGCCTCTAGAAATTGTTCGGATCAACCACTGAACTCACATTACATCGATACTTTTCTGTTGTCCATGGAAAGCATGCTGACTGAATGTCCTGACATCAATTTGATTTCATAGGCAATGAGATGTAAACACTGTATTTTCTTCAAGGATCTATAGTTTCTAGCATCCAATTCACTGACCATGATCTAACAAAATATCGGTGGCCTTGCCTAACAGAGCATCATGAGCGCCGCCAATGGGAAGAGCCCCATAGTGGTTGGGCCCTGGGGAGGGACAGGAGGATGCCCCTGGGACGACGGCGTGTACTCGACGGTGTGCCAGATCATGATCACCCATGGTGCAGCCGTCGACTCGATAAGAATCCAGTATGACCTGAAAGGACAATCGGTCTGGTCACAGACGCACGGGAGCACCGAGGACGGGTCTGAAACAGATAAGGTCTGGCCAGCTAAATCCTCAGTTAAATGATTTCAGGCTTCTGTAAAGATTTTTTAGTTTTCATTTTCTGAACAAAATTATTCAGACTTTTTATGTCTGATGATGCAGGTGAAGCTAGATGTTCCCGGAGAAATCCTTCTGTCCGTGAGCGGCTACTACGGATCGGTCTGCGGCAGTCCGGTGATCATAAGATCACTGACGTTCCAGAGCAACCGATCCAAGTACGGACCCTTCGGCACCGAGGACGGGACGCCGTTCTCGCTCCCGGTGAGCAGCGGCAAGATCATCGGCTTCCATGGGCGGTCCGGGTCGTACCTCAACTCCATCGGCTTCTACCTGAAGCAAGTCCACGTCCCGATCCCGAGTCCCCCGAGCTACCCAGCCTCGCCCCAGCTCCCGACGGCGGCGTACAGCAGAAATGGCTATACCGTCACCGAGGTTGACGATGAGCATGACATGGCCCTAGCGGTGAGCAACCGGGCCGACAGCTACGCCGTTTACGGCACCGGTTACCCTAAGCAGCAGTACGCGCATCCGTCTCCGGACTACCACGATGGATCGATCATGAATAAGGTGTGGTGTGGTGTCACATGCTTTTGCACCCTTTGTAAGTATGTCTGGTGATGGCTCTGCAGTTTTTGTGTTCTGAAAGTTGTGAACTTTGGTTGTGCAGATGGTTTCGTACCCTAGCTCGTACAGGGCGGCCGTGAGCGGGCCGGAGACGCACGGCCCGTGGGGCGGCAGCGGCGGCACCATCTTCGACGACGGCGTGTACACCGGCGTGTGGCAGATCAACCTGACCCGCGCGGTGGGGGTCACCTCCATGAAGGTGCTCTACGACCGGCACGGGCAGGCCGTGTGGGGCAACAAGCACGGCTTCAGCAGCGGCGTCCCACCCGACAAAGTAATCAACGTAATCATGTCGTAGATGACTGTGCTGATGAGTGATGACCTGACTGACGCGCGCTCGTGCTTTGTTGCAGATCGCGTTCGACTTCCCGTCGGAGGTGCTGACCCACATCACCGGCTACTACGGCCCGACGATCATCATGGGTCCGACGGCGGTGAGGTCGCTGACGTTCCACACTAACCGGCGGCGGTACGGCCCCTACGGGGACGAGTACGGCACCTACTTCTCCACCAGCTTCGCCGACGGGCGGGTCGTGGGGTTCCACGGCCGGGAGGGCTGGTACATCGACGGCATCGGCGTGCATGTCCAGCGGGGCAAGGTGCCGTCGTCCCTCAGGCGGGCCGCCAGCAGGAGCCCGTCGCCGGCGCCGCGGTCCGACTACGACCCGAGCGACGTGGACGAGGAGGTTCCCTACGCGGCCATGGTGAAGGAGCCGGCGGCGGCGGGGCCGGGGCCGTGGGGCGGGCCGGGGGGCCGGGCGTGGGACGACGGCGTGTACGCCGGCGTGAACCAGGTGTACGTGACGCGGGGCGCCCTCATCGGCTCCATCCAGATCCAGTACGACCGGGGCGACCGGTCGGAGTGGTCGGCACGGCACGGCACCAGCGGCCACATCACCCACCGGGTGAAGCTGGACGCGCCGCACGAGGTGCTCACCTGCGTGCGCGGCTACTACAACGCCGACCCGGCCGAGGGGCCCCGCGCGCTGCGCTCCATCACCTTCGTCAGCAACCGCGGCAGGTACGGGCCGTTCGGGGACGAGGTCGGCACGTACTTCTCGTCGCCGGCGACGGCCGAGGGGAAGGTGGTCGGGTTCCATGGCCGGAGCGGGCAGCACCTCGACGCCATCGGGGTGCACATGCAGCACTGGCAAGGGGACCGCCGGGCCGCGCCCAAATACGTCCTGTCAAAGTACCTCTTCTGAGTGATACGAGACGGCCAATAATCCTAGACGTACAGGCCGTTTACAGGGTTGTTACAGAGCCTTCTTTAAATCTCTC